CGCAATCGTTGCAGATGTAAGGGTCAGTACGGGTCGAGTTTTTCAATATCGAGACTTTGATAATACGAAGCCGCCATCTTTTGATGGATATCAAGACCCTATTATAGATATGAGATGGATGTTTGATGTTGAGGGATGCTTTTTCACTTGCTTTTGCCTAGCTGACCAGAATGTCAGGTGCGCTCTGAACATTTTGAGGTCCGAAGAGAAGGATTGGCGGAGACTTGCTACCCGTTTGTTTTCTTCTAAGCATATAGCTACTGTTTCATGGGAGAAGTTCTCGGTGATGTTCTGCTCAAGATATGTGTCGCTAGTGGAGCATGAGAGGTTAGCCAAGGAGTAACTGGATTTGAGGCAGGGTACGAAGTTGGTGACGGAGATCACCAAGATGTTCATGGAGAGGGCCACGTTTTGTCCTGATTTTTCCGCCTCTGAGCAGGCTCAGATGACCCGTTACTTGAGCATGCTCAAGACGGAGATCAGATAGCTCGTATCCACCCAGCGTTACGGTTCTTTGTTGGAGTTGCAGCCTTGCAGGAGGCTGTCAAGCGGCGTGAGATTGAGATTCGGTTGCAGACGAGGGAGCAGAGACCGTCCACAACACAGTTGTAGCGTGCGCCGAAGCGGTTTAGGACTGCTGATTCTAAGGTAGTTAGAGGGGCCGCACTTGTGGGAAGTGCGGTAAGGTGCATGATGGAGGTTGCCGATCTTCTTCGAGGTGCCACAATTGTGGCAAATGGCTACACATTGCGAGGGACTGCCGGCAGCCTACTCCAGCTCCTTTAGTTTATTAATAAATTACATCTTTAATCATTGATATACGTCGTAGTGGATGAAGTAAATTAATATAATCAAACATCCATCTTTTTCATGGTAGCAAGTATAGGTCAAACCTTTAGATTCTTCCATCGAGAACATTATAAGCATCAACAGCAACAAGAGCATAGTAATTTTGAATTAAATTGGTCTATATGATACAAAAAAAAAGTCCAATCGAACAAGTTTATCAACTGTGAACACTTTTTGAAATATATATATATATATATATATATATATATATATATATATATATATATATATATATATATATATATATATATATATATATATATATATATATATATATCGTGGATTTTTAACCTGCAAATCATGCTAATTATGAGTTAAAACGAAAAGTTGGTCCAATTGAAAAAGTTTATCAATTGTGAGTGCTTTCGGAAGAAAAAAAAACACATTACCGGTTGTTAACTTACAAACTTGATACTCATACAAAATGAAATTTTAAAAATTAAAATAAAATTTTGTAGGTTTCTTTCGGTAAAAAAAGGTTTGTGGTTTAAATCTGCGTGTTTGTCATGGAGCGTTTACGAACTTCTAGTTTTTAACATTTGACAAAACACTTTATTTTGATCAAAAAGCTTAGTTTGGTACTACAAGCTTTTAGAGTTTGGTTTAAACAAAACACTCCAAATCTAAAAAGTTATATCACAGTGTTTAACAAAACGCTATCAGTTACCCACTATCCCTACTTGCTAGTTTTGCCGATTTTATAAAATTATCCCGAGTTACAATAAGCAATGAACTCAATCATAAATATATGATATTTCATTCTATTTAAAAGTTGCGTGAGTTATTTACTTTTATCTAACATAGTGTTTTGGTCGGTGAGAAATTGAATGAGATCGATGACCATGACTCATGAAAATCCGAATAGCTTATGTCATTGGAGAAAATGTGGCAAACGAAAGTCTTTGCATTCGAGTTTAAAACGAATTGATACCCTACCGTGTGTAATTTTTAATTGAGAATTCATTTAAGCCAATATCCAATTAATGTTATTTCTATAAATGATAAGCCCTTGCTTGATAGATAAAATATTCTGATACAAAACAATAATGATAACAAACTCCTGTATTTCATTCCCTAAAAAAGTATATGAACTAAGGATAGGACTTTTGGTTGGAAGCATTCATTCTCCACAGCCAGGAGAAAGCTATCGTAAGAGATATAAGTTGCATTCTATATTTATTCGTTCCTAGTTCTTAAATGGGGGTTATCAATGTAGCTTCATATTTTAGGCAAATATGTCCGTCAATTTTTATTTTATTTTTTTATATTTTGTGCAAAAAGAGTGGGTTTTGGGTAATGATTTTTGGAAGAAATGGGATATGCGGAAGGAATTCTAATTGAATGTTTGGTTCACGTAAAATGAAATATATTTTGTTTGATTTGATGATTTGTCAAATAAATTAGAAAATAATTATTTAATATGATAAAATACATTTTTCTTGGTGTTTTTGTAACTTATTGTTATTTAATAAAATGATAAATCTTGCATTTAATTAAATATTTCATGTATTACATTCTTATAAGCTCAAACCTATGTTTTGTTTTGAATTTCCATGTAATGTATAGAAAAAATATAGCTTTACAAAAGGAAAATATATAATTATATTTGATAAAACCAATTGATAGATATCTTTTTTGAGGGCTAGATCTAGGGTCACTTTGTCACGAGGTGAATGCATATTTAAAGAGTTAAGGAAAGAAAAAGTAATATTTATATGTGTGTGTCAATATACATGAGTGTTTGTGTGCACGTGTTTTCATAGGTGTGTGGATGTAGGCATGATCATGGGTGTATATGTGTCTGTGTGTGCTTGTAGGTGTGGGTGTGACGTTATGGTGAGTACGGGTGTGAGTGGGCATATGCATGTAGCTATGGGTGTGGCGGAAGGTGGTGGGGATGGGTTAATGGTTTTAGGGTAGGGTGGGGTGGGCTTTGGTGAGTGGGTGTGACATCCTCTAATTTTCAATGCCAATTCAAATTTTCTTTATACTTTTAAAATCATTTATTTATATTTGCGCAAAATCTCAGTACAAAATATCATTTTAATTACAAATGTTTGTTTCCAAAATGTTAAAACCCTAATGATGTCATAATCAACACAGATACATAAGTTACTGTGTAAAGACCTGATAGTCTTGAATACTATTGCAGGTTGTCTCTTAATCACTCAGCATCCTAATCAAGTTCCACTAGCTTAAGTCTTGATACCTGTGATGCATATAAACCGAGTGGATCAGGTTGGGGAAATCTGGTGAGATACATAGAGATTTCAATCCCAAAATATTGATATGATAATATTCCTTAATTATCAGACCTGCAAAACCAATCGTTACCATACTAAATCCATATAGGCTTACATTCCTATATATAGTGAGAATCCCCTCAAGTCTTATGCCGATTGTTTTTATGTTGTGTTTTAGTTTGAGGATGGTGATGATTACTCAAGGAGGAGGTTCCGGTTCCGGTTCTGATTTAGGTTCTAGCTCGGGCACATAACTGATTGATGAGAGGTTGTGTGAGCGTATTGTGGCTAGGGTTACTCGTAGCATTTTGGATGGTACCCCTGTGATGTTTGGTACCATTAAGGAGGGGATTATATAGCTCATGGATGAGCGGCTCAGAGCGTTTCGAGTCGAGATTGATGCAAGTTAGATTGGGGCGTGGACTCCCTTATTTTGGGAGTTCAAAGCTTATGGAGCTCCTGAGTTCTTTGGGGCTAAGGACCCTATCGCTAGCCGACACTGGATCGATGACTTGGAAAATGCTCAAAAGACGAGCTTTTTCCTTGAGGGGGCAAAGGTAGGGTTAGCATCCTGCTTATTGAGAAATCATGCAGGTGATTGGTGGGATAAGGTTGGTCGAGCTATAGGGAATGCAGCTGTGGCAGTCATGTCTTGAGAGGAGTTCGTTACGAGGTTTCAGAGGTAGTTTGCACCGGCGATCGAGGTGCAGCAGTTGGCGAGATTTTAGGACCTTCATCAGACTATTGAAACAGTGGCAAAGATTACAACCAAGTTCTAGGAGAGGGCTCTTTTGGTTCCACACTACGTTGTGGATGAGGAAATGAAGATGACAAGATATCATAACATGTTAAGGGATGACATCAGGGAGTTTGTAAGAGCGGCTCAGAGCGTTTCGAGTCAAGATTGATGTAGGTCAAATTGGGACGCGAACTCCCTCATTTTGGGAGTTTAAAGCTTATGGAGCTCCTGAGTTCTTTGGGGCTAAGGACCCTATCGCTAGCCGACATTGGATGGATGACTTGGAAAATGCTCAAAAGACGAGCTTTTGCCTTGAGGAGGCAAAGGTAGGGTTTGGACCATGCTTATTGAGGG